TCGGCATATCGGATATCGGCCAAAATCCCAATATCGTGCATCCCTAAAAATCAACATTTTTCAGACTTTCATTGTTGGAATCCTGAATAAGTGATCTTACGAGAACCAAGAAAAACATCATGTCCTTTTTTAATAAACATATTTTTAGTTGTTAACAAATGTGTTGGCCATAGAAATAACTACAGGTTTCTGTGTTGCAGCTGGAGTTGTTGGAGCTGAGGAAGCAGCAACAGGAGATAGAGCAGTTCATTAAAGATGAGCAGCGCTCAGATAGAGAGAGCAGGTAAAGACACACGTTTAAACACTTGGAGAGCAAATAAACACTCCAAAAATACTAATATTCATTTATGACACGACCTGTAAGTGAAAAATGAGAACTGATAGAACAAGGAGCTCAGAATTATCAAGAAAAGTGCATCTTTGGGTTTATTCTTTCTGGGAGATCCAGATAAAATGTGTTTAAACTGTTAATAAGAACACAGTTTCTCTCTTTGTCTTCTGTTTTTGTTTTTTTGTGTGTGTTTATGCTTAGGAGAGAAGACACAGGCTTCGTAGAAGAATCTTCACAACTCCACACTATTGAGGAACAGACCCTGGTTAGTAGCTAAACCACTGCTTTTTGTTTTTCCAAGGCCTGATTTAGGAGATTGAAACCTAAATCCGGCCCTGACTAATAGACTAATAATGTCTATTTCAAACATGTTCCTTTGTATTTATACCCACCCTATTGTATAAAAAAAAAAATAAAAAAATAAGAATGATTTATTGTTGTTTTCTTTTTGTTTGCCCCAGTCCGGCGCGATGGAGCCCAGTTCAGGTCAGATGGATGGGACTGCTGGTGACTCCACGGTGCCTATCGTGTCAGAGATTAGAGAGAGCGCTTCTCTGGAGCTGGAGCCCTCTGTCTCCATTGTGACTCCTAAAGAACCAGAGAAGGCGGCCACCTTGCCATCAGAGACCCAAAGGACTCAGACGGTGCTGCAGGAGGGAATGCTGTGCCGCAAACATGATGTAGAGGGTTCTGGAAAGAAGGCATCTAACAGGTCGGTGACAGCAGAAAAATCCAGCACACCTCTACCTAGTGTGCAGTGATTAGTGTGTGCTTATGCATGTTTTAGGATCTCATCTATCTTATGTGAGAAGTTTACATTCACTTATCAACATAAATGATAATTTTTGGAGATTTTCTTAGTCCACACCGAACCACACTGACCTAAATAATTACAAAAACACACACCCCCACTTATGTGTGGCATAAGTTGTTATATTCATCTAAAGTTGTCATATTAAAGGCCGCAGTCCACTAGCCTTATCTTTTCCAACTTTCAACTAGTTTTAATTTTAGTTTTAGATAACTATATATATATATTTACTATAAGCTATAAAACTAATTTGTAACACATTTTGAGAGCAAATCTGTCCCTTTCAGCTTGAAGAAAACTGCTCAGGATGTTCAGGAATGACGCAGTATCCCCTCAGGCTCAAACCTGGCATGAACCTAAAACTAATTAACAACAACACGACCAACACACAAGCAAACTGGACTGAATGACAAACAAAGAAAAAAATTTTTAAAGCGAGACAACCAATAAATACGTTTTGCAGGAGTCATTACAGGGCTCTTAGACCTAAGAGCTCTCCAACAGCTTTTAAGCACAGTGGTGGCTGCATCATGCTGGGAGCCTGTTTTTGCTCGCCTAGTGCATTTTGAAAAGGGGATGAATTAATATAGATAACTTCCAAATGTTTCATCTTCAATCACAAGCTAAATGGCTGAAACTCAGATCTGCATGTTTTGATAGAATAATGATCCCCAAACTACCAAACTACAGAATATATGGATCACACTTCAAAGCTGAGTCCTCTGCATTAAACAAACAAACTTTAATAAAATCTACAATTTCTGATAAGAAGGGATTTCAAAAATCCAACCAAGACTTTTCTAGAAGTTTGCAAACAGCAACCAAAAACGTTTACCCATAATGGACAATTAGAACCAAATGTGGATTAGAAAAAGCTGGTCGTAAATTAAACGTTTTGCTTCATATTCTTGCTTTTAACAATCATTAAAGTTGTATGTTATATAACCATCCCACTCTGCTAAAAAGAACATAGCAAAGGCATCATTAAAAGGCCCAAGATAGGGGATTCATGGCAACGATGAGTGTATTTGTCTAACTGGAACTGTGCATTTCATCAGATAATTGGTATTGAAACATACCAACTATGTAGAGGAAGAGCAAAGTAATTTAAAGGGATACGTAGCATGAAACATTTGGGGACGTTAGCGTCTTTTTATATCATTTTCAAAAGGGCTGCTATGTAAATATCTGTTTATCCCTCATTAGGCGTGAACCCAGCATCCAATTATTTGGTGTCACAGGGAGACTCACAATTATCAATGAATATGAATGCATGAATAATGAATGCTTTCCACAAATAAACTGCCATCAATCACAAAAATGACTCCCTGTTATGCTAAAAACACTTCAGTGAAAGTTTGCATATTTCCTGAGAATGCTGAACAGAAGATAAAGTCACTTGCTGCACGTTAGAGGAATGATGTTCGGGTATAACTTCCTGCAGCCTGGTGTCATAAATGTTAATAAAACTAAATACATTTTCAGTTCACTGCTGAAGATTTAAGGATGACGTTAAACATCTACATGCCTTTATCTAGGTTCACAACTTTTAGACAAAGGAGAAAACTATAATGAGCAACTTTTTGAAGTTTAACATCAGAGAAAAAACTGTCCGGATCTTCATCTGTTCTGCCTTTGTGTCTTTACACCCAGGACATGGAACAACTTGTACTGTGTGCTGAGGCCAGGTCAGCTGTCGGCCTATAAGGACTCCAAAAGCTTTGGTCATGGAACGACTTATCACGGTGAAGACCCCCTACCCCTAAGCAACGCCACCTGGGAGATCCTCCCTAACTATAAGAAAAAGAAGAATGTTGCCAAGCTGCGGTAAGAATCAAGTCGAGCTCCAGGTTGCGATAAATGGTTTTTAGTCAACTCAATGCATTTCACTTTCTTCAGATGGGTTTGGATTTGCTTATACTTGTCACATATCATTGTTATCTTGTCTAAAGTCCTCCAACACACCTTTCTTTTTTTTTCGAGGAGAAAATTGAAGCACCATGTGAAGAAAGGTTATTGAACAATGACAGCCATGGCAGCTTTTAAGGATTTCACATTTTTCAGATGTTTCTGAAGCTACCAGCAGAGACATTCAGTGACTGCAGAGAGTCATTGCCTCTACCCTTCAGCTTCCAGCTGAGAAACAATCCTAAACTTTAACTCTGTGTGACTCCACTCCACTTTTTTCAAATTGCTCACATCAACAGATCAGCCCTAGTGTATACAGTGCTGTGAAAAAGTTTTTGTTTTAACTCCTTACCAACTGTCTCTCATTAATGTAAGTTAGACAAGAAATCGTATCTATAATATCTGCTTTTATTGGAATCAAGCTGTCCGAACCAGCCTGAAAAGTAGAAAGTAATTTCTCCCTTTGATAAAAGATGACTTAAAGGTATAGTGGAAGGTGTTCTTTTTCCGCATGGATCATCAAAATAAGTGGTCCTCCTGATTTTCAATTATTCTGGTGATATGTTTACATAAGGCCGTCCTACGTGCTCGTCTCCATTTTCACTTATTGGTGCTGAGTCTTACAAAAATTGCAAATGTTCTTTTGGAAAGTAAGCTTATATGAGTGATGCAAAGAGCAACTTTTAAACAGAGCGTGCACGAGGAGAAATGGGGTCGTGCACGTGGGTCTTTTCAAAAATTCATGAAAATCCTCCACTTTACCTTTAACTGAGATTAGTTAAAGTTTTTGAAAGATGAATAAAGTTTCACCATCTTCATCCAGGCCTGATTAATGAATCAGCAAATCAAGATCTAAAAGATCTAAAAAACACAGCATGTGATACCATGATCAAATGGAAGATTTAAACTAAAGAATTCTGACGTTTATTAGCTAGAAAAAGAAGTTCAGTAAAGCCTAATGGTGAAAAGCATGGACCTGCGGGGAACCTTCCCTGAAGAGGAAGACTTTATTCCAGCAGGGCGTTAATGACTCAACCAGGAGGTCACAGAAGAAATCTGCAAATCTAAAGCACACCAAGCCTCACTGAAGGTCAGAGTTTGTAGTTTAAGAATAAAGAAGAGGTTGAATGATTCAAAAATGACGAGTTTCAAACTAAACACTTCGGCTTTTGGAAATCTGTGGACTGGTGAGACATGAGTACAACGCTTGAAAACAACTGAATATGTAACCTTGTCCTGTTACTGAATTATTTACAGTAAACATCTTATCAGTTTGTCAGCATATGTTCAAACCCAGATTATTCTGCAGGACAATGAGCTGAACAAATTCAGCAGTTTTATCTAAATTGTAAAAATAGAACACTTTGAAGTGGCCTAGTCAGAATTACAAACTCATTTAGATGCAATGGCCTTAACTTTTAAACTTTAACAGGTTACATGTTTAAAATAATTGCAAAGTGATTAAATCCCAACAGTTCTATAAAGAAGATTTAACTGGTGACTGTGGAGTGGCGGCCTAGTGGTTAGGGCATAGAGCTTTGAGGTTCTGAGTTCGAGCCCCACTCCCACAGACTGCCACTCTGGCTCTCTGAGCAAGACCCTTAACCCCACACTGCTCCCCGGGCGCCCCATGATGGCAGCCTACTGCTCCCCAAGGGGATGGGTTAAATGCAGAATGTGAGATCAATAAAGTTCAGTTATTATTATTGAACTAAATTTCCTTCACAGTGAAGTTAAAAACTAATCTCCAGTTCATTATCAAAATGTTTGCCAAGGCGGCAATATTAGCTATCTGCTTTTACACATACTGTAGGCCCAGGTCAGTTTGGACAGCTTTTTTCCCTTAATGGGATAATCAGTTGAAAAGTAAATTCTGCATTTACCGAGGTAATCTTTCACAATTATTTGAGGATATGAAACATTTAAAGGTATAGTGGATGATTTTCACAAATTTTTGAAAAGACCCGCCTACTCCACTCCACTCCCGAGTGGGAATTCATATCAAACGCGTGCAAGAGCGTGCAAAAGCCCATTTCTACTCGTTGACGCTCTGTTTGCATCGCTGTTTGCATCACTCATACAAGCTTACTTTCCAAAAGAAGAATTGCAATTTTTCCTCAATGTCAGACAAACTTATTTTTATTCTTAGTGTATCTGTTTTCTTTTAATGTATATTGGACCTTGAGTCTGTAATAATAAAATCAATCAATCACCACCGTTAAGTGAAAATGGGAACAAGCACGTAGGACGGCCTTACATAAACATATCACCAGAATGATTGACAATTAGGAAGACCGCTTATTTAGACACCGGAAAAAAAAAAAACATCCTCCTCTATAAATTTAAGTTTGGCAAAAAGCAAAACCAGAATAAACCTGTAAGGGAGGAAGCTTTTCACTGCACTGTTATAGCTTTAGTGATGTTAAAACATTGATTTCTCTCCTTCACTGTCTCCCTTCATCTGTTAGACTTGTTTATCAGGCTCATCCATCAGCCTGGAGCGTTACATGTTTTAAACATGCTCTACTTGCATTTCTACTCATTTAATTCACAGCAAGATTACAAATAAATTTACTCTTTAAAATTCTTGGAGCAAATCATGAATACATCAATCACCTTATCTCCAACGTTTTCCATCTACATCTATGGGTGAAAATATTGGAAAGATCTAAATAAATCTTACAAGATTAATGGGGAAACTCAACTGGTGCATCATTAGTGATCAAACAATCAGTTGTGAGCAAAAGAAGTTTTAATATCTAAAAACAAGCTGTGCAGAAAGGAGGGTGGGGGGTGTTTTCCCAGCATCACCATTGCAGACAATAAGAGTGTGCACCATATCTGTGCTAAATTGGGGTTCTTTCACTATTTTTGAACAATTCTGGACTTTTTATGGTAATAACTTATTGTGGATTACATTGTATTATGTCATATCTACATTTAAATTGAAAATATCTGATATTTTTTAGATACAGCCAATAAATAATGAGAACATCTATCATAAAGTGAACATGGAAATGAGGATGCTTGTGGACAAGATTTCAAAAATAATATGTGAAACAATAAGTACAATAAAAACCGTAAACTAAGAGCCAGTTTGAAATGAACTTTAGTTCAGCTAAGTTGAGTGAAAACCGAAAGAAAGAGGATGTCGCAACGAGAAAATGAAAAACAACTATGAGATCAAAATGATCCCAAACGGTTGAAAGATTTCCTTTGCCTTGAAGCCACTTCATAACTCTTCATCATTTTGATGATGAACAGCGAAAGACCAGACATTTTTTTTTTCTGCAGATACAGATACGTATATAAACACATTTTAGTGCTTCAGTCAGTTAGAAGCTCCTGTATTGGTCACGTCCTGTAATGATACGCGCACCGTCAGGGTTCTGCTCTATGATGCTGACACATCAGTGTTGCTGGACCCTTCACTAACATGTTCTGTATAACATGTCCTCCATCCATTCATCATACTCTCCATCTCTCTAACAACCCTTAAACATATATATAAAATGTTGATGGCAAAATTCTAAAGAAAAACTTTAAACCCCAAACATTAAGCATTTAGTGTAACAATAAAACAAGTGAGCTGCGATGGAGTGATATGACTGCAAGTCTCACCATTAGAGGTGTTTTGCTGAACTTTCCCTCCGTTTTCTGTTCCAGGTGTGATTTCAATAGTAGCTTAAACTTTGACTGTTCTTTTTTTTTGATGTAATCATAAAAAATTAAAGCGGTGTCTTCTGGACACCTACCTATCAGCTGCAAGTATTGACTGATAGCATACGTTTTTATTTTTAGATTTGCAGAGTTGCCTAATATTTAATAATCTAGCCTAATTGCTTCTAAGTAGAGCTGCAACTAATTCTTATTTTGCAAATCGATCAATCTGTCGATTATTTTTTCAATCAACCAAGTAATAATCGGATAGCCAATGATTCCTTAAAGAAGACTTTTTTTACGAAATCAAACCAGATGAAACTAAAACTTTTCCACTTGTGGAGTTCTGGATAGAGCATATTAAATGCAAAATATTAACATTTTTTTTTACAATCTTTGTATAATTACTGCTCTAAGACGGGTGCTCTGTCAGCTAAAGGCATATTTTAAAGTCACAATACTCCAGTTAATGATTAAATGATCACTAAATTAGTTGATTATTATTTCAATAAACGGTTAATCACAGTTAATCCAATTAATTGTTTCAGCCTTATTTCTTAAAAAAAAGACATTTAGTGAAAATTTGGTTTGGATAACAGCTGAATGATTGTGCAAAACTCCTACGTATACTCTGGAGAACTCGTAAAATTTGTTCCTACCTGAGAAATTAGAAAAAGGATAAAAATTGTGAATTTCCAATAAGAGCATATTTTTATCACAATGTATTAACAAAACTCTCCTATCTTGAGACAAACCTAAAATCTATGGAGGACCAGTTCTGCCATATTTAAAAATAAATACAGAAATAAATAAATGCCCAATAAATGTAAATGTAAAAAGGGCAGACAGAAATAAATAGCAGCGAAGACATAACTAAGGTAAAAAAATACAAAGAAAGAATAAAACAGACAAAAATATTATAACATGCACATAAATAAATACTTAAAAATATAAGTAGTTAAAAAATAAAGTTGAAGATTATAAAGGACAAAAAAATAAATAAGGTAAATATTACAAAGGTAAATAAATAAAGAAGCTAATTAAGAGTTAATACATTTATGTCTCTGTATAATTTAACTTCTACTTACATTTATTTGTTTATTGTATTTTTTATGGCAATTAATTGTATGCTTATTTATTTATTGAGCATTTATTTATTTCTGTATTGATTTTTAAATATGGCAGAGTTGGTCCTCCATAAAAATCTGCCCAGTATAAATGAATTAAAATACAGTTCTAAGTAGACTAATCTGAAACCAGTTAAGAGATTAATAAAGTAAAAAAAATCTATTGTCTCATTTCTCTTCATTAAAAAAAAGTAACAGGATGATAAAATGTATGATTTCTGGTCTTCCACAGATTAACCTTAAATTAAGCATCAGCTAAAGACAGCTGGGAGGTTTGATTAATTCTACCGCCGCTCTTTGGTATCACTCAACAACACTGGGTTCCTTTTAGCAGCTGATGGAGGATCTAAAGATAAATTATGCCCTCACAGCTTGGGAAGGTTGAAATAACTGTAAAAAATCTTTCACTTTTCCACCATGAAGAAAGGCAGAAGATGATTTTAGTCATAAATAATTCATACTGTGGATATCAATGTAAAAACTGAAAATAAAAAATAAAATAAATCTATCAAAATGTTTCTTCTGTTACAGAAAGGCAAACCAGATAGGTTGTAAGAATAAGCAGGGGCGGAGCTAGATGGGGGCCAGAGGTTACCATGGCCACCCTTAGCCAATCATTGGCCACCCCTACCAAATTTTTTGCCCTCTAATACAGATGGTGGCAGCAGTAATACTCTCAAGGGGAATGTTCCAACTTATTAAACATTTTAATTCTTCTTATATTAACAATTACTTGAAAAACGCAGTAGTTAATTATGCACATCAAAACACACACATTAAAGTTGATATATACAGAATTCATGTTCTTTACCGAACTAAAGTTTGTTATATGGGCTAAAGAGAAAATAATGTGTCTCTGCAGGTCATTTAGGAGTCTTCAGTGAAATCATAGATAAATAACTACTTTAATAATAACTTAGAAATCCTTTTAATGAAGATTTTAGTACATGTAAATATTAATTTTATGCTAAACAATTTTTGATAAAAGTAGATAAGTAATGACAATAGAAAATACATTTTGTCCACTATACCTTTTATTTAGACAGAAAGTATGTTTAAATATCTATTTGCTAGCAAAGGCTGTAGGAAAGTATAGTTTGTTCCTGTTGAACGGCGTAAATTGACTCTGAGGTTCTGGCGACTATCCACTTTTGGCCACCCCTTAGTGTACACTAATTTTTGACTGGCCACCCCTATTAAAATTTTCTGGCTACGCCTCTGAGAATAAGCTGCACAGGTGAAGTTACAGCTGGTTGGTTTTGTAGTGAAAGCTGTAAAAAAAAGATGCTTGAATTGAAGGATAAACAAGGTTGGAAACAACTTCTTTCTCCACTGTTGGATATTGGGGTTTAATATGTTCAAAACAGTGCAGGTGATGCTAACACCACATCCATCGATATGAATACCTGAGCACCGATAAATGAAGGAAATCCATGACGAGCAGACATGACATTTTAGGAAAATTTAAACCTGATACTTGTTAATATGTCCAAAAAAACACTTTAAAGGTAATAATTTAACAAATACTTGCACTGAATTCTGACTGAGGTGCTTTTATTCCTGAGTGCCATGCAGGTGATATTTGGAAGCTGGAGGCATTTTTATCAAATGTCAAATAAAGTTTGACGAAGCAGCTGGTTCAAAGGAGGGACTGCAACCATACCAGCTCCCCAAGGAAGAGATTACACAACTCAGAACCTAAAGAAAGGCTTTATTAAAGAGAGGTGGCTCCAGACTTTTACCTGGAAAATGCAAAAATATTAATCCTCTTTTAAAGGGAATTTCATCTTGTTAGAATCGCTTTGTTGGTTTACTCAAGTATTTAAAGTTTGCTGAAAACTATCCACAGATTATTAGTTAAGATGAATCATTTTCCCTCCATCTCACAAGATAAAGATCTTCAGTCATATAAAAGTCCCAATAAAATACTGGAGAGTTGTGGTTAAAACCCGACAGACATAAAAAGATAATGTCTTGGAGCTGTAAAGTTTACAGCAGGATTATGACATGTGACTCTTTTCACCAGAGATTTGAATGCTGTGATAAGATTAAATCTTTGTGATTTGGTAGATGTGCAATTGTATTAAATGTGTTCTTTGCTTTCACAGTCTGGCCGACGGAAGCGAATATCTGTTCCAGTGTAAAGATGAGGTATGTTTTTTAAACTGCAGAGACGTCTTTTTAACGAATCACATGGCAGTCAGCCTTCCAGGTTTAAATAGTAACAGTCTGTGACCCTGAGTGCAGCTCACCCAGCGTTACAAACATGGGTATCTCCATTTGTTCAGCTGACCAAATAAAACTACGAGATAGAACCACACACCGCCTCTCTGGGGGTTTTCTTCCTGTTCTAAGCCAACTCCATGTGGGCTTTTATTTTTTTTTGTTGAATTCCAGGAGGAGCTCCAGCGTTGGAGCCAGGCCATGGAGAAGGCCGTTCAGATCCTGGCAGAGGAGGAGGCCCCGGGCCCCTCGGGGTCCAAAACCCACAGCCTGCCCACCGCTCCCACCTCCTCTGCTGCCCTGCCTGAGCCCAGCTCTGCCAAGAAAGACAAGGAGAAGAAGTTTAGCCGCTTTGCCAAGAAGAAGTGAATGAAAAAAAGGAGAGGCGTCTGGAGACGGTGTCGCCTAGGCAACCAGGGAAGAGGAGGCAGTGTGTGAGGAGGCCCTGTCGGAGCAAGCTTTTTATCAGTTTTTTTTATATGATTTTTCTGAAAAATAACTAACAGTGTTGTTTAGGTTTAAAGCCATCACTATTGCCTGTATTTACGCGCGTGTGAGATTACAAAGGTCCATTTTTCTTTGTGTTTAAAGTAAATTTTAGTGGGTAAATTAAAGCACAGGAATGCTTCACACTCAACCAAAGATAGTTTGTAAAACTTTGCTTTTCTTAGTTTTTTTTTTTTTTTTGTGTGTGTGTGTGTGCTCTGTTACAGCATGCTTTGATAAAGCCATGTAGGACATTAAGGTATTTTCATCAATCTGCCTTATAAAATGGTTGAACTGTAATACTGTGCTGTTTGAGTTCAGGGCACTAAATGCTAAAATACAGACGCAGAGTGAAATAGATGATGTTTTACAGCAGCTTTGTAAAATGCATTGTAAAGATTGTGGAGATGAGTAAAGGATTCGGCGCAGTGCAGAACGGCACACACACTGCAGGTTTAATAGCAGTTATGCAAACTAAATGCTTTATGCACTGGGAAGGATCTGACTGAGGAGACCTTTTTTTATTATTATGGTAGTGGTCATGTAAACTCCACAATCTGTGAGTTGAGAATATAATCTTATTCAGGCTGTATTCTCAATTTATCCGTGGCAGTAGTTACCTTTGTGATTTTCAAATATATTAACACTTGTGTAATGAACTCTGACTTTCATATCTATTCATTGACATGTATACACTATATATCTGCAGATGCATGGAGAACATTAGGCTGACATGGTGCTATTGAGATATTCCTGAACCAAGACCAACTCAACAACTTGTAGTCACACTAATGAAATAAGTTTTGGGGTGTTTCATAAGGTTGGCTAACATCTCTGCAGGTGGTCCAGTAAAAAGCCTTCAAACTGCAACATTAACCAGACTTCCACTACTCACCTCAGTGGTAATTCTGCAGGTTTGCGAGAATCTCTGGCTTTTTTTGTTTTTCTTTTTCTTTTCCAAACACATCAGCACTGAATCTTTTTTGATGCACTACAGGGAAGTCTGATTTTACAGATTCAAATCATGGTGTTGAAAGCATCATGGTGGTGATGTCTTCAAACATGGGAGGAAGGTGTTGAATCAGATAGTTCAGATGATAGAACTTAGATGCTGGAAAAGACCTAAGACTTGATCAGATTCTGGTCTTAACACTTTAAAGCTACAGTGTGTAACTTTTAGCGACATCTAGCGGTCAGACTGCAGCAACATGAATATCTCCCCCCCACCGCTTCT